ATGGTTCAGATGACACCGTGTCGTATCAATTCTACATGTCGCCAGTTGGAAATACGGGAACAAAAACTGCCCAAGGCATGGTGCACTGTGGCGGTGTGCTCGTTTTGCAAGTCCCTGCTGCAGCATGCTGCACTTCTTGTCTAAAGCCAAAGTCAAAGGCAAAGGTCGCTCTCAGTAGGTTGAAACACGGACTCCTTCTGTTGGAGCAGGAGGAGCTACACACAAGGATGATGCCTTGACCACCTCCACAGTGCTGACGGACAGCAGCCAATGCCATGGTGGCTGCCGGCGCTTCGCCTGAAGAAGGTACTCCAACTCAGGGTACGCAGGTGCGAACCAAACCTCCTCTGCAACGGCGAGCCCGAGCCCCAAACATGCCCTGCCACCCTGCCTACGGGCAGTTCGAGGAAGCCATCGGGAGACTGTCGGAAGCCAATGGAGGTCAGCCTCGGCCGCATCTACCGCACGACACTTGTGAGCCATGGCTCCTGTGAGTTCCGGGCAGTTCCAATGCTCCGGCATAGCACAGCAGCTCGTTCTTCAACTTGTCGCTGTTTGGGTTCCTGAGCACCACAACTACGTACGTCTGACTTGTAGCGACCGGCTGTAGATAAGGATCAACGTCCTCTGCACGGAGCAGCGTTTATCCGGCCAAGGGGCAGCCGTCGAAACTTGATCTCCTTCGGGTTGTCCTTGTAAGTTACGAAGATTATCGAAAGCCATGTGCAAGCTGAAGCTTGAAATGTTCTGGATTAGCTGTTCTCACCATCCCACAGAAGGCTCAAGCAGGTCCAAGCGGCTAGTAGGTTTCCCAGGATGCGAGCCAACATCGCCAGGACCTCTGCGGCAGGGCTATTGGCACCCAGCTGGATTAGCAATGCTTGAAGACTTCAGGACTTGTGCAGCGCATTCCTGAAAAAACTAACAAAGTGTGTGGATACTGCATGGTGTTCCGTAACGATCTGTAGCGGTACTTCTCTGCAGCAGACTTATCTTCACGAAATTTCTACATACCACAATAGGCAAATGTAAACAACAAGTGCTACAGCTTCACATGCTTTGCGTTTGTTCCAACCGGTCAGTGTGCCCCAAGCTCATTCACCTTCAGGGATCTGTGGGGTTTCGGATCGTGATTTCAGCGCTATCCGAAAGCCGAGGCCTCCTCCCGCACCGGCACCCATCCTGAAGTCCACAACTGCTCCGAGGTGCGATGCCCTCCTGTGCCCCGGCAGCCGCACACAGCGCCGACAGCTGCATCTGCCAGGTGAACTATAACAGCTTGAAGTAGCAGGGGGCCAAGCAACTCCTTTCTTTTTGCAGGGCCTCAGACAGAAAGGCTTACTCGAGGTGTGTCGGTGTTCTGATTCTGATTGATGCCCTCAAGGCAAGAGTCTTCCATACAACATCCGGAGTCCTCGACACGGACTCGAAACTCCGAATGCTGGGCCTCGACGCCAACGGCCATGGCTGCGAACGAAAGATCGGCGGCCAGCGAAGTGTAGTGACGAAAACAAAAGATGAACACTACTGCCAAGAGATGGTGCAAATCCAACATCTCGCATCGTCTCGAGGCCGACTAAGTTCAATGCAAAATGCATGCCATGCTAAACGGTATGTGATCGAGCAAAACGCTTGAACGGCAAATCAGTAGGGTAGCAAACCAAACCACCAAATACAAGACGCTGACAGGCTCATTGACTCGCAATACTAGTTTGCTGTTTGCACGGCAAACTTCCTGCTCTCCATCTTCCTCCCACATCGCTTGCGCCTGTACGGGAACACCACTGGATTTGCGACGGTGATGTCAGGGGTCAGTCAAGGCTGTGCGGCTAGGCAAGGGAGGCTGCACATGCGGCGAAACCAGCAGGGAAATTCCACTAGGTCTGCTATTGACGCACGGAGTCTCATGGAGTATGCACACCTCCTGCATGCATCCGGTGCGACTCTGCCCAACACAGCAAAAAGGCCTTCTGCATTTTGGATTCGAAGCCGTCAGAGCCTGCTGAAAACAGACTACAGCTACGAAACACGGAGCTCTCTCCTTCACCTTGCTACCACCCTGGAGCACCGCAAGTAAACAAACATTGCATAGTTGCATGCCACTCAACATCGCCTCCACCAGTTTTGGCAATCTCAGAGTTGATCTCTGCCTAAGCACGCTGAGTCTTCAGCAGTTCCATATTGCAGGCCGGAACCGCAGGAACGAGACATCGCTCAGTCATTGGTGTGGCTGATGAGCAGTGTAGTAACTAGTAACCAGTAACCAAGCATCACGCCATGAAGGCATCCAGTGGATCCTCCTTGCAAGTGATCGCAGTGGAGCCACGACTCCACTATATAATCGCTTGAAAATGTCTGAGATGTCAACGGCAAGCTCACATTCACAAGCCCAGGTCGAACCGCACCAAACAACCGAACAAAAGCGAAAGCGTGTACAAACATCATCTCCTCAGCATTTGCTGCCGGCTGCGGCCTGAATTCGCAGCTCTGACAAATCATCATGCACTTCCGAGCCATACTGAGAGCAGCACTGCGAAAGGCGGACCCGCGTAGGTGCCACGCCTGCCACCAGTACGTGCTTACACTTGCAAGCCGCGTGGGCAATCATGACAAAGGATGACAGCAGCGTGGGGATCAGAAAGTGAAGGCCTTGGCGCGCTGGCGCTTCGTTGAAATAAGCCTGAGTGCGTGAGGTATGCAAGCAGGTTGGTTGCTACGCTGAGGAAAAACACGCGATACTCATGCCTGATCCTGCCTCGTCGTCGTCATCTCGGAAATCGGGCCCACCCGCCATCAACACCAAAGATTGCCTACATGCAACGATGCGCGCATTGTCTGTCTCAGCCTCCACATAATTTCACGGCATCCCGAAACATGGGCAAGGCATCTCAAAATATCTCAAGTTGGTTGATGGCGCAGTAAACCGCGCCGACAAGCTGAAGCCAAGCTCACGTGCCCGTTAGCTCCGATCTTGCGGCCAAACGGCTGCATGCACTGACACACCGTGCCAAATCGCAAATTATTTGCCCGCCCTGCCCCCCCCTATCAAACAGCAGCCTCTCGCCTTGTTCAAAAGCAAGCCATGCCTGCTTGAACATCCTACGAGCGCACACGTGGTTGATGCAGTCATCTGCACTTTGCTGGCCCCATCGCAACATGCCACAACCGAACTCTTGAACTGACATGCTCGCTGAAAAGCATGTTTCGGTAGCCATTCCACTATCATTGACTGAAGTGGTAGCCACTTGGCTTGGCGATCCGCTTCTACCTCGCATGATACGGAGTCCGACGTACAATGAGTCAGGGCAAGGGTCAGGGGAAACCTTCGTGCCGCCGGTTGTGGCCTCCACTGACTCTACTGTGCCAAATGCTCAGATTCAGAGACTGCCAACCGAAAAACTTCCACGGATTTTCGCGATAAGAGCACTTAACCTGGACTGCCAACTAATTTTCGCGTTCGGCCTCCATCCGAAGCTGCATGCAGGCACTTGTGGCATTTCTACGTGGAGCCGTGCAGCACAGCAACCAGGTTCGTGTGGTCTCTCGTCTACCACGCTACCCATCCCTGTCACACTCCACAGCTGCAAGCTGATACAAACAGGAGCCCCCTCTTTGGGAGACACAAACATTTCCAGCGGCCAAGCCAACATCTGTCTGGAATCTCCCTTTGCTTCCGGAACGGGTTCTCCTGCCGCCAACCATGTTCACTTTGCCTTCCCGACCTATGTATTTGCTTGGGCCAACGCCTCGCATGAGGATGGTCCACGGCGATCTTCAAGATGCCGCAGACCAAGAATCACAAACGGAGCTCGTGTCATCCAGCGGGCTACTGCCTGCAAATCCAGCATAGCCGTTAGGATGCCTTCGGGTGAAACGTGTCGAATTCTCGACATACCAGCCGGCTCACACTTTCAGAGGTATTCTGGCTGGCACTGTCTTCGCACTTCTGAAGTGTACAGGGCTCTGCCACCGAACCAAATGCTTCATTCCTCTAAGGCCGAGACCATCTGAGAGAGACACATGCTTACCAACTACTTCACGCAACGAAATAATTTCAACCTCCAGATGTTTTACACCTCCAGTGTCACAAGAATGAAGCTAGGCACAACCTTTAGCTGCAAAGCCGTGGCAAGATGCCATCGTCGTGGCATGTCGAAGTAAAAAACTACATACAAGATGATGCCGGCATTCCGGAAGATCGTCGGCCAACTATCTACTGGCAAAGACGGCATGGACTATCGCATGCAATCGTCATTGCTAACAAACACCCTGGGCAGGGAAGCCCGTTTCCATAAATCATGGATACATTGCTCTCAGGCATGCACCCACCTTCTATTTCCATGCTGCTGCCGAGGGTCGGGTTGTTTTCAGCCTCTTGCGCCTGGCTCGGTACCCGATATATTGGCTAGTATCAAGAAATCGAAGCGCGAACCAGCAAAAATCTCGCACTGAAATCCCAGCAAGCCGGCTCCTCGCAGGAATCCGGCAGAAGTGGACCGCTGCAGCAACCTGCACGGAGAGGCTCTGAATACCAGAAAATTCTTCCACGAAGCATTTACGAGAGCTGTGCCTTGCTGGAGGCGGCAGCCCTGTGCCACGCAGGCCGAACACGGCCACCGCCTGGCTCAGTCTCACCCCATGTAACGGGCGCTCTATGTCCCAGAACGGACACCGGTTTGGCAAGGCCTTGGGCAATTCGACGGGGATGGCGGCTAGAGACATCAACTCAGTGCTTCAGCTTGGCTCGGAGCAATGAGCGGTTGCACAACTTTTTTTTTGGCACTCGCACTCGACAAAGCAGGCGAAGGTTGGGGAGGTCCACACATTTCGACCACCTTACACCACACCACAACATTCCCCCACTCCTCGTAAGCCAATCGACTAGGTCAAGCTCCACAGTACAAGTTATACCAG